AAAGTAAATGAATTTCTTGAAACTACGACAACAAAAATTGGTCGATTGTTCTATACTGAAATGCATCGAATCGAAGTCTGATATATCTGTTGATATGATAGAACCATTGAAAGAAGAAATACATTCGGGTTTTGATTGAATAGATTAAAAAGTGGGAAAAAAAAAATTCATACAACAGTGTGTCGAAACGTGGTGATAGCAAGTACGTTGCAAGCGTTGAAAATGGGTTTCTGACAAACCTAGTAGTGATGAAAAAGAAATCGGTTTAATGAGAATTCTGTTAGAAACATCGTATGAGCAAACAAGAAATAGCAGGCATGTGCAAAGTGGAAGTTGAAAGACCCAGCCGTTGACGATGAATCTGACCGGGCTACTAAACATTTGAGTTGGAGAGTAATATTACATTGTTATATATTAGACTGTGAATGATCTAATTATTCTGCTCGTTTTACAGTCCGGGAGTAATGCTAGAACGACATTGGCTAGAAACCCAAATCCAGATTCCATTGTCACAACTGACTTAACAGTGAATGATTCAATGGCGAATAATCCGGTAGGTTTAATCTGAATTTATCAGGTGCGATTCTTTATAAATTTTATGGTATTGATTATAGACAAAAGGATTATTAAGTTTGGTCAAAAAGTTGTGCACCGTTTGTCATCGAAGCCCAGTGAGTCTGTTGATACATTATGTTACTAGAATTCTTGCAAATAATTAACGTATTATTATTTTGGATATACTGTGCAGGTCTATTGAATCGAGAATTATTGACTTAACTAATTGGACATATAAAGAATTTGAAAACTAAAGATAAATATATACTGGCTCGTATTTTTCAAAAAAGAACTGCTGGCTAGTACTGGTAATAGGTAATGCTTATACTTGTAGAATAATGATATGAATATAACCAATATTGACTATTTATAGAAGCCGAATTTAGTACTAATCGTGGACACTGAAGATGTAACGTTGACTTTGTTAGGTTCAAACCATACATTAATTGCTTCAAGATTTCTTGATAAGCCGGACCATGCACAGCAGTCGTGTCCGCCTTATCGGGTATATCCTAAAAAAATTATTATTGCTGTTACCAAATGAAGTTACATGTTATTTGTTCTAATGCTTGAATAGGGAAAATGGTAATTTCAATCACGCGTTGTATAATTCCTGGCAGAATTAGTGTTCGTATCAGCTACACATTATACAAAACAGTATTTAGTTAAGTCCTGTCATTAAATAAAGCTGTGGGAGTTTTTTAAGTGTAAAATGCTTAATCACTTTCTCTCTATACTCTAGGGCTAAATAATATTTTTCCATGTATTAGTATGTCAGCTATTTTTTTTTTCTTCGGAAAAGAAGCATCTGTGAAAACTTTCGTTACTAATCTTATTATTATCTTATTGATAATTATATAAAACAATGGGGGAGATAAATAGGTAAAGCTAGACCGAAGATCACATGCAAAATAAAGAGATTAGATGCAGGATCTGAAGAAGTTATTTAAAATTAAATCACCGAATAATAAACACGTAAGAACTAATACTAACCCTTAATCTGAAGGTTAACTCGTGAGTTGGTAATAATAATCATAAGATATACAGCTTAACTCACGTGACGGAATTCTTACTATTACATACTAATACTAATAGCATACGATAATAGTAGCGATCACATCAGGAAAGGGACCCTGTTTTGGGGGGTTAGTGTCGAGATTTAAATTGCTTTGCTTCATATCGATCAAAACTAATAAACTCCGCCATAACTGGGAAAATGTTACGATCCTGGTTCTTAAGTAACTTGATATCGCTCGTAAGGCAAATTTCTCATTTTGTTGGTCTCAATTGTATGAGCTTGTTGTAAAATAAAATAAAATAAATAATGTGGCGCTAACATTTCGACCCCTGAAATCTTACTGTGACACCTATGTTCACTTTGCCTGGTTTTGTTGCAACGTATTAAAATACCGGCCTAAAGAATGAATCTGAATAGGCTTCGACATGCGGCGATTTGTCTCCTTCGAAACAGTCGTCTTTATAAACATTACGCTATCTTCCATACGAACAAGCTTTATATTCCGTTGTCTATAAAACGACTCCTTTATACAGAAACAGCTACAGATCCGCAACATACAAAACGCATTCCCGGTTTGTGCCATGCAAACATACAGAATTCGAACGACAAATGTCATGCGTCTGCAAACGACGATGTACTAAGAGTCTTGTTTGACGATCAAAGGGCTTGGGAAAGGTTTTCAAAACACAAGTCATTATTTGACTCGCGAACTTCTTCCGGACTATTTCGGAACCAAGATCTTGCAACTCCTACTGGTTTCGAAATAGCTGCTCAGAAAGCATTGCGCAGAGCAGAACTGCTCGTCCAGAGAATAAGTAATGCCGAGACTAAAGACGAGTTGAGAAAGGTCGTAAAGAATCTAGATCGTGCGAGTGATATACTTTGCTCTGTCATCGATCTTGCTGAATTCGTGAGAACAGCACATCCGGATCAGAGTTATGTCAGAGCAGCTACTTGGGCTTACGAGTACTTATGCTCGTACATGAATACTCTCAATACCAACACTAATTTATACAAGGTAACTCCAGTTTGCTTCGTTCTCTAAATTCCCTAAATTGAAACTTTGACTTTTATCTACTCACGTAATTGACACTTATTTTCTGCTCCCATATTACAGGCTCTTAAACGCGTTCTCTCAATGCCCTCAATAGCACATGATTTTTCGCCGGAAGAACTCCAAGTTGCTACTATTTTTCTTCGCGATTTTGAGAAATCAGGCATTCATTTGCCAGAGAAAGATCGACAACGGTTTGTTGACATATCTGATAAAATAATAGCGCTCGGTCGACAGTTTACACAGACACCTCCTGTTAGAGCTGTTAAGCAGATTGAAGTGTCGCCTGCGTCTAGCTTAGAAGGATTGAATCCTGGGTATGTAAAGGATGTTACTAGAGAGGGTGAGCAAGTGGCCGTTATATCGACTAATCAGGGGGAGGCGCAGATGGTGATGAAGTATTGTAGGAATGAAGAGGTAAGGAAACAGATGTACTTGGCCATCAACTCGGCGAAACGAGAACAGGTTGAAGTATTGGAGGATCTTTTGAGAACTAGGGCGGAATTAGCAAAGTTAGTTGGGATGGATAGTTATGGTCATATGTTTCTCGTGGACAAGATGGCAAGGGGTCCAGGTATTTGCAATGGCATTTGTATTATTCGAGTTATATGTGTATTATTGCTACTAACTTGTATTCATACCTAAAATAAAGAACACGTACAAACATTCCTTCACACGCTCGCTGATCAACACAAACCGAAAGCTCTTGCAGATCTGAGACTTCTCCAGGAAGCCAAGCGAAGCCATATCGGAAGCAACGACTCTGCCCTACCAACTGTAAATGCATGGGATCGTGATTTTTATATTGATGCCGTCGTCTCCTTCTCATCCTCCCAACGATCGACACCGATATCACCCTATTTCTCTGTTGGTTCTGTGATTCAGGGTCTCTCCCGACTGTTTTCGCACTTGTTTGGAATTTCTTTTCAGCCGGCGGAAATCTTACCTGGCGAAGTGTGGCATGAGGATGTTCGTAAGCTTGATGTCATTGATGAAAAAGAGGGTAAAATTGGTATTATTTATTGTGACCTGTTTAGTCGACAGGGCAAAATTTCCAATGCTGCCCATTATACTGTACGTTGTTCACGGCGTGTTGACGACGACGATGTTGAGGGGGACATACCTTCTGGAGCCGATCATAACGAAATTGGCGAGTTGGCGGAAGGTGGTGAAGGTGTCGTTATTGGCGGAAAGCCTGGAAAGTACCAATTACCAATAATAGCTTTGATGTGTGATTTCTCAAGGACAGGAAATAGAGATGGGCCAGCATTACTTAGCTTGATTGAAGTCGAGACATTGTTTCATGAGATGGGTCATGCGATGCATTCAATGATTGGGAGGACGGATTTTCACAGTGTATCAGGTAAACCTTGTTATGGATATCTAATTATGTCGTCTTTCAATTATGTATTAAATTTATCGTCATTATTTTCATACAGGTACCCGATGCTCCACTGATTTTGTTGAAATACCTTCGATTCTTATGGAACACTTTGTGTATTCGCCTGAGGTGCTCAAACTGTTTGCTAAACACTACGAAACACGTGAAGACATTCCTATTGACCTAATTCGGTCTCATGCAGCAGCCAGATCTACTTTTTCCGCAATAGAAACGCAATCTCAAATTCTTATGGCTCTTCTCGATCAAATATATCATTCGCCTCTCCTTGCTTCTACGTCTTTTGATACTACAGCTATTTTAGCTAAACTGCAAGACACAATTGGACCTTTTCCCTCAGCGCAAGGGACAGCATGGCAGATACAGTTTGGACACTTATTTGGATATGGTGCTGGATATTATAGCTACCTGTTTGGAAGGGTGCTTGCCGGTAAAATATGGAAGGTACTATTTCAGGATAATCCTTTGAGCAGAGAAGCAGGGATGAGATTCAAGGAGGAAATATTGAAATGGGGTGGAAGTAGAGACCCATGGGTATGCGTGGGTGAAGTGCTGGAAGATGAGAGACTAATGGCTGGCGACACGCAGTCTATGGTTGTAGTTGGTGAATGGGTGGACTCATTGTAGAGATTGATAATTGTTAAATACTAATTACTTACACAATAATATAATGACTCGGTTTGTTATTTGGAGAAAGGATGGAACTCTGTTTTCTTGTACAATTATTCTTCATTCAGTAGGAAGACGTGCGAACGTAAAACTGATGTATAATCGTACAATAAACTGCCTCAAAAGGTGCCTCGATTTTATAAACTGTTGGGAATGTTGCCTAGTTACGTCATGTTGAAATTTTATAGTTTAACGCAGATACCAGCAGCCAATTAACGACTACTGATAATCACATTTCTCCGCAGCAAATAATTAGTATTAATTTTCATAATTTGAGTGTTTTAAACCATAACTTGCGTTCACAAATGGCCGCACAAGGACAAGGCGAACAGTATTTTGCGACCGTAGCAGCGTTTTTGAATGGCACGCTATCACCTGACCAGAAACTCCGAAAGGAAGGTACGCATGTTATAATCCTGGTGGGAAATACGTACTGGATAGAGTATTTGGTAGATAACCGCGCATGATAATTTTCTTATATAGCCGAGGAACAGCTATTCTCGGCAGAGAAACAACAGCCGAATTTTTCAATAGCTCTACTGAAATTAGTCGCAAACGAAAACATTGATTTGCAGATCCGCTTTGCAGCGGCTCTTTTTTTCAAAAATTATGTCAAGAGAAACTGGCTCGAGGTGACTATAATTAACAATGACGTATTGAACGGAACGGATTCCATGAAATTAATATTAGATATTCAATTGCAGGAGAGCGATCTACTTCCTGACGATATTCGGATGACAATTAAAGCGGAGATTATCGACATCTTGGTTGCTATACCCGACAGGATAAGACCGCCACTTAGCGATGCTGTATCTCTGATCAGCGAAAGTGATTTCCCAGAGAAATGGGAAACTCTTATTCAGGTAATCAATATATCACGACGACAAACGTCATTCGTCGCTTGATACACGTTAATCGAGATACGCGCGCCCACACCCGATGATTTAATTAAACTATTTTATTGTTAACAGCAACTTGTGACGAAATTGACTGTCAAAGATTTCACACAAAATAACGCGATTTTAGATACTGCACATGCTATATTCAAGAGGTAAAGTCAGGCCGAGTTTGATCATATGCGAGAAGATGATGGTAGCTCAATCGTTCTTAATTATCGTCTGACATTGGTAGATGGCGCCACGAATTTCGTTCAGATACGCTGTATTCAAGCATTAATTTTGTACTTAGTCAATTCTGTCAACCTTATTATGAATTACTAAAGGTATGTACAGTTTTACACGAAATTATCGTCCCTGGCAATGAGTAACCTTACTCGTGATTTTTTGCTGCATAGGCGACAGATTCTCTAATTGAAGTAAATGCCAACAACAAACCAGTGCTTACAGTATTATTGCAAAGCTTGCTACTTGAAATGAAATTATTTTACGACCTCAATTACCAAGATTTGCCGCCTTTCTTTGAGGATAACATGGCAGATTGTATGAATTTACTTCACAAGTATCTGACGTATACAAACCCTTTGTTCGTAAATAAGGTAAGTAATATTATTGCAGTCGTTTCAATGATGAATTTATGATAATTGAATCGAATCGATTTCATTTTTCAGGATGATGACGAGGCCGGTCCTTTGGAGAGAATAAAGGCATCCATATGTGAAATCGTTGCCTTATATACAGCAAAATTCGAAGACGTTTTCACAATGCTTCCAACGTTTGTAGAAACGATATGGACATTGCTGACGACTACTGGAATATCGCCCAAATATGATATTGTGGGTCATTGGAACTTGTGTTAAACGAATGCGTTGACTAGAGTATGATGATTAACTTGTTATTTTTTTTTCCAGCTTGTCAGTCAAGCTATGGTCTTTTTGACTACGGTTGTCAAGTTGGAGCGATACCGATCGCTCTTTAATCAACCAGAAACGCTGCGACAGTTTTGTGAAGCCATAGTGCTGCCAAATATGACCTTAAGGAGTATGTAGTAGCAACTTTTAAAAGCCGTTTTTTTATGTATGTGTTAACACTTTGAGTTACGTTTGATATTGCAACTCTTTAAATGAATTGTGTTTTTAGGTGTCGATGAAGAGTTATTTGAAATGGATCCAATTGAATACATTCGAAGAGACATTGAGGGATCAGGTTATAACACAAAGATTTACGTGAAACTGTTATGTATGAGCTGAGTTGTTTACCAGTTATACATCCCTATAGACAGTGAAACTCGTCGACGAGCGGCAACTGATTTTGTCCGTGGCTTGATGGTACTTTATTTGGAACAGATCACTCAAATCATTAAGACCTACGTGGAACAGTACCTCAATGTTCGTAGATGCATTTATAACTGATGAAAAACGTAAAAATGCCTATTTGGCGCTTTTCTTTCCTCTTTACTTACTCATGCTTATCCCCCTCTCTAGACTTATAACCAAAATCCGGCAGTCAATTGGAAAGAGAAGGATACGGCAATATATCTATTGACATCTATTGCTGCGCAGGGATCTGTGACGAAAGTAAGGCCTGAATTTTAGTATTTGATTTCAGTACTTTTATATTCGATGCTGATGTTTTGTATTGTGATAACGTGTTTTATATGGAAGCACACTTATAATTTATTTACCAAATCTAATAGCATGGCGTTACAGCCATAAATATTTTTGTAAACGTTGTTGACTGGTATGACCAACATATCTTACCCGATCTTAAAACTCCAACTGACAGCGGTTCCGCTATTCTAAAAGTTGACGCCTTAAAGTATCTATACACCTTTCGTAATCAGGTATATATTCTTGCATGCAATTCAGTGACTTTTTTTTGATCAACACAAATTAACAGTCTCATACTTGTAGATGACTAAGGAGAAACTTCTCGAGGCCTTCCCTTATCTGATGCAACATCTGCGATCTTCTGGTTACGTTGTATATACTTATGCTGCTATTACTATAGAAAGAATTTTATTCATGAGACGAGATAATGTTTTAGTGTAAGTTATTTGAATATAATAATGTATTGTCAAAACTCAGTGCATTAATTTTGTATAATTGATCATGTAGATTTAATCAAAATGATATTCGACCATACACGCATGATCTTTTGATTATACTATTTGGATTGATCGAATCTGCTCCTACCCCGGCGACACTAGCAGAGAATGACTACTTAATGAAAGGTACTGCGCAAGTGCATCATCTTTGTAATATAATAGTTAAGCTAACAACTCGTGCTAAATTTGCCATACTCTTTAGCCGTGATGCGTGTGCTGTTTACTAGTCGTGAAGAAATATCTCCGTATGTGGGAGATATAATTGATCATTTGAACAAAATACTAATTGTGATAAGCAAGAATCCGAGCAACCCCCAATTTAATCATTATACATTCGAGGCTATTGGCGCTTTGGTGAGGTTGGATATTCATCGATTATTTGTTAGATTGAGCGTATTGCCCTACCTATCTTTAATATTTGCTTTTCCCCCCGCTATCAGGTTCTGTTGCGTTAATTCACAAGAGATATTAAGTCATATAGAAGGCGTACTCTTCCCCTCATTTCAAACCATTTTACAGCAAGATGTAACGGGTATGCGGCGATTTTCGTAGGAGAATTGCAGTGTCTTTTTAGTATTAACCCTGTGATTAATCTAACATTTTGTAGAGTTTGTGCCTTATGTTTTTCAATTGCTATCTTCATTACTCGAATGTCATGTTGGACAAGAACTGCCAGAGATGTATCAAGCTATCCTGCCGGCATTGCTAAAGTCCAACTTGTGGGAAACTCAAGGTAGATAACGACTAATCAATGAAATCCAAACTCGTTCTTGTTTACAATTAATTTATCATCGAATCTAGGCAACGTGCCTGCGCTAGTACGTTTACTCCAAGCCTATCTTCATAGATCAACAACAAGTATCATTGTCAATAATCAACTTGAAGCAATCCTCGGTATCTTTCAAAAACTTCTTGCTTCCAAGTTGAACGATCAACTTGGACTTGAGCTTGTCTCTTCAGTCATTCAATATGTGCCCACGTAAGTATTCAATGATATAGTTGCTAATGTATGTTTCGATCTATATCTTTTTAATCTATAAAAGTGCTTTATTTTCGTAATAGGGAGACTTTGAATCACTATATTGGACCTATATTTATTCTTATATTAAAGAAATTACAAAGTACAAAGCAGGATAAGTTTCTAATTGTATTTGTTAAGTTTATATTTTGCTTTTTTGCAATCGATAAGGAGGGAGCTGGACCAGATTATATAATCCAAGTCATTGATAGCATCCAGCCAAGGTATTCTAATTACATGATTTCAATCCTGTATGATAATGTTTGAATGTCTTGAATTTACACTGATTATACTGTATCGTAGTTTATTCATGGGGCTCCTCAACGGGCCCATTATGCAGAATTTGCAAAAGGTCCAAGGAAGAATCGAACGCAAGATTTGTGCTGTGGGAATGACACGTCTTTTGACCAAGTCTGAGAAAGTTATGGGCAGCGAATATGCTGAAGTCTGGTAAGAAAGAGAATTACAGCTACACGTCTAGTTACTAGAGTCGAAATATAGCTGTTGAATACTATTTGCTTTCTTCATCCAAAGCCAACAATTGACTGGATACTAATATATCATTTGGCAGGCCTACTCTTCTAGGCATGCTTGTGCGATTCTTTGAGGCACCAACGGAGGTTGAGACACATGCAGATGCCGAGGATAGTCTATACGAATTTGACCTCATCGAGGATCGAGAATTTAAGGCACAGTTTGCCAAGCTAAATTCAACGTCTCGCTTGAATAACGACCCAGTGGAGAACGTTGTCGATCCGCGAGTATTCTTAGCGCAATCGCTTGTAGAGGCAAACTCGCAATATTCTGGGACGGTAAGATACCACGTGATGGCATAAAGTAACGCCTTTTCTTAATTATTAATCAAATTTCTGCTATATAGGTATTCAGATTGATATCGGAGAAAGAGCCTCGCGAGTGTGTTGACTATATCAACGAATATATGAAACTTGCCGGATTTGGAAGTCTAATGTGAATATGATTTTAACGTAAAACATAACAAGTGTGCGTCGCGTGATGAGAGTATCTGCTAGCTCCATTAGATATTGTTTCATTTATCTAGATTACCATAGAATGGTATACTGAAATGAGTTGTATATGCACGGAATTTTATATTAAAATGTTGTCAATTCTCAATGTATATCAACTTTGTAATGATGTCCATATTAGGAAATAGACCCGCACTTTGATAAGAGATTTTGTTAAAATTCGTTTTCTCCCATTCCCTTGTCCATCAACCTGACCTTTTTCGCACACGAATTACTTGTGAACAATTATGCAATCGGCTGAAGATTATATGGATCCTGACGATTTTCTAGCTGAGGAAGCAGTTAGTTTGGTTTTTCATTCATGAGGAGGGTTTTATCTAGAATAAGTGTTTTATATGAAAATTATTTGATAGGTTATTGGGGTTAAGGGACTTCCATTTGATTCACAAGCGCTGATTAATATGGGCGTCAGCAACCGAGTACGTATGAAAGACAGACGTAATGAGGTTATGTGGCATAAGCACGCCGTTAATGTCTCGTTGTTTACAGGTTAGAGAAGTGGGTAATAATTATGAAGGCGAAGAACGAGTGGAGAGACGTACGCGTAGTAGCAGGAGACAATTTGCGGATGATCACGATAACGATGACGATGACGTCACGAGGGAATCAATACAAGAGATACCTTACTGGGTTGCAATCAAGCTAGTCCAAAAGTAAGCGGCAGATCGTTATAAAAAATGATTATGTACAACCCAATTCTAGTCTGTATAAATAGAAGAGCAAGATTGCTTTATCTATTCATAACGTGAAGGAGGCCAATTTTCTACTCGGAAAGATATCAACTAGTGGATATACAACCGTCATTTTAATGCCCCCCTAATATTCTTTGTAGAGGACTTGGAGAGTTGCAGATGCCAAAGATATTTGGCCGACCGGTACGCAACGCATTGAAGGCAGACCCGATTCATGTGAATTTAGTTGAACAAGATCCACGATTCTTTGCATTTGGTGGCAAATTCCTTGAAGCGTATCCTTTGCATATTTCATGTGTCAATTCCTTACTTCAAAATTAATTATGATTCTTATAAAATTCTAGTGTAGAGGACCCTGAACTGGCTGAGGTTCTTGATAAGGTCAGTATCACATGATAATACCCATTTATCTGGTGGACTGGTGGATTAAATTATAACTAATATAGTTAGTGAATTGAGCCTCCAACTTTTTTAGCAAAGCAGTAGTGAATGCGATAGGCTACGTCATTATACTTATCTGCCCTTTATCCCGATTGGCGATTTACAGAGTTACGTACAGCGTACGCGTGCCACACTTGATCACTTGGAGTATGGAGCGGCAGGTAAGGAGACGGTCTTTGTTTCGAAGATGGACGAGACGGAAAGACAAGGTATGAGCCATTGAAGAGGAAAAGTCAAATGATATTTTAAATTACCATACATATATGGATACACATTCACATATGTATATATATGTGTGTATACGTATGGTATGCAGGTATATATATATATATGTCATTACATTGTACGTTGTGATTGTCATTAGATGCTGACGTATTGTTGTTTCGCATTAGTGTACTTGGCGGGTGTGGAGACAGTCAGGGCATACAAGACATGGGCATACAGTCGGAGGGAATAGGCGGGTGCAAGGGGAAAAGATGATTGGGTCAGAGGATGAGTGTGGGAACAAGAAAACAACGGGAGCAGGTTTTCATCTTGATATTTCAGTTGACGTGTGGAACCCCCATATGTAGATAGAAGCATTAATATGTAGTTGTAGTTGTATATCTCTTGAATGTTCAGTTTCCCTCTCAATTAAACCTGTTTGTTTCTATGACGGCGCTTCATTTTCTTCGTTTTCAGTTAGTTCGATTGCAATTTCGTTGTTTAAAATTTGCAAGATTTTATGCAACGCATACTTGGCTGTGCATGCTGAATGATGTGCTCGGCATAAGTAAATGCAATGCCTAAATAGTACAACTTGTAGTAGTAATTCAGATCGTCCATATATTTGGAAGTATGATGTTCGCTACTGTTTGGTTAGTACGTAGCAAGTAATTTGGGTTAGCGGTATGCATCCTATGCATAAGAATGTGAACGGATTTCAGTGCCGCAAAAGCAATTCAATTGTATCAGAACATTGAGTTACTTTATGCGACACTGAGGTAGTAGTACAGTAAGAACAAACGCCTCTTATTTCATTTATAACGCCACCTAAATCATTTGATCTTTCTACTCTTCTCAGTTTCATGTCTCATACTTGTATCTCTTTTTCCACCTGTCTGAAGTCAGGTGTATGATGTCATATCGGCTGGGATAAGGGGAGACATTCATATGAGATCATATGTATAGCTATGATTTGCGTGGGATAAAACTGTCAGGGAAACGACCCTTTGATAAAACAGTATTACATAGTATAGTTTGTATTATAAATTATAAAATGCTATCGATATACTACTGTTATTACTACTGTTATTACTACTGTCACTACTGTTAATACTATACGTTTGCAACAACTTGGCCTCTTCTCCTCGTTTATTATTATGATCATTGGTTGCATGTGCTCGGTGCAATGTTAGTAGTGCTTTGCACTTAAAGCATATGAATAAATTAACTGAAGCAACCAAAACGGGCATAGCGTTTATCATCCCCGTAGATAGAATACGCGATAAACAATGAACACATTGAATGTAGTAACCATATTAATAATATCTGATAACGCAATCTCCTTACGATGATGTACTGCTTATAACTACTCACTGTTTAAATCTTTATACTCCTATATATTATACTATTACATACTATTATATACTATTATACTATTATATGCTCTACATACTCTCGCTTCCTCATCTTCTCATCTTGCATATAGTTTATACAATACTACATTCATTCTTATGTACAGAGAACAATGTTCTACGCATATCCATAGTCTGCCATTATTAGATTACTTTTTTTCCTCCGCTTGTGTTTCGCAAATACGCTTATCTTGCAGCATCCTAAAACTTACACTAAAATAACTACTAAGCCTCCGGTTGTACAGTGGCGTAATAACATATTTTTGTAACAAATTCATCCTCCTTCCCATCACCACATAAATACCCCAACCTTAAGGTCTGAAAAATCTCACGACCAGTCACTTACCCCACAAAAACACAAAAAAGAAGAAGTCGGTTTTGAAGATTTTCATAGAACAAACGAATACCATCACGAGAATTGAAAGGTCTATATAATCCTAACGAAGAAACACTCAACGATTAACATACCGATAACTCAACAATGGCACCAGCACCAGCAACAAAAAACATCCCCATCGTATTAGAAGCGGTAAACCAAGTAACAAACTGTGTCAGCCAACTTCCATACAATGAAGGATTCGATGAACGCGACGTTGTCGAAATCTCAGTGACCACCGCTCCCAAGGCCAGAATAGAAATTGCAACAGTCTCTGCAATCATTCAGTTTTCATGCAATCTTGTTCTCTCGAAAGCTGTATACGATGTCCGAATAGAATTTCCTCGTATGAAACTACCATTTGCGTGGACCAATAGATCCATCCGCGACGTACTCTACGCTCCTAACGACAACCCAATTGCCCTCGAAGTGGTGAGCGATGACTGCCGTCTCACGGTCTTTAAGAATAACGATGACGCTTGCAGAGACGAATGGTATGATGCAATCAAGCATTGGCACACTAATTTGCCGCCGAGATTTCACTTGTTGTTGAACGAACTTGTGGAGAATGTATCCGCCCATGCGCAGCTTCCAGAAGACAGGTTCTGTTTCACTGTTGGATTACATTTTTACAAAAAGAAGGTAATAATGAATTTCATTAGGGGTCTTGTTACCTGCCATTGCATGTGAATACTCAGCATTGGTATATTCGACCTGCATTAATCCCGTACATTTCAAACGAATAGCATGTCGATGATCGGCTGATACTAACACTTTTCATTTCCTTTTCTCTTTCCCGCCCACCTCCCTTTCCCCCCTTTTTTCCCCACCATCGATTAGCTCTGCTATTGTGTTGCCGATTGCGGTGTCGGTCTACATGGGTCGCTCCAACAAGGAATCGTAGAGGACGCTAAAGCCGCTGCCCGTCGTGCTTGTGCTCTCTATTTGACACGCCCTCAAGTTACCTCCAAGGGTATCGAGAGAGGACATCAAGGTGTTGGCCTCTTTATCACAAGCGAATTATCTCAAATGAACAAAGGCTACGTCCAAATACTCTCCGGTTTACAAGAATACGAGCAAAGAGGTGAGCATAACTATAATCATATACTTTTGATAGTATAAAAAAAGTTCATATGACGATCAACCAGCAATGCTACTAAATAGGCTGGATTTTCATGTGTAACTTTGTTCTTTATCACCAATATCACACCCCCCCCCCGACTGTGCCTATATTAATCTCTCTTTTTGTATTTTTGTATAATAATAGATACCACTGTTGTACGTGTCAGGGGTATTGCTGAATGGAAAGGCACTATGGTCCATGGTGCGATCAACTTGGACCAAGAGTTTAATTATCGGCGAGCCATGAAATTATTTTCCAACCCAAATGACCTCAACAACGACCGATTTCTCGTTGCTTCGGTGCATCTCAACGTATATGGCCAGAAGAACCTTCGCACTCGTGAATTATGTGAAGAAATCATCCGCGATCTGGAAGCAGCTGTTGAAAGATCAACCAAAATAATCCTCGACTTTACAGATATCGAAGAAATCTCACAGGCTTTCTCTGGTTTTCTTCGCCGATTTGTTACGAATCACTCTAAAGTACGAATGATGATTATGATTCCACCCAATGCTAATGAAGACTTACGAGAGGATCTACAAGACTTGAGCGATCTAGCAGCACAGAACAAATCAGATGACGAGGAATAATGTTTTTAATTATCTATATTTGATTATCATATACTATTCTTATCATTTTTTCTTTTTGTATATTCATATTATTCCTATTAGACTCATTGATTAGAAAATAACAGTTTAATATTCGAATATTTTATATAGAACGGTTGATTACTTTATAGAGTAGCAATCCAAAAAAATTTTCCTTTCATCTCACTACTTTCGCATTGTAAATGCCATAATCGAATAAAAACCCTTATATATTAAATAAATATTATTACAACTAAATTGTAATAGAAACCAAGCATAGACAACGTCAAATCATTAAGTTTCAATACTTCGAGTCTGTATACCAGCAATACCCATTCCACGTATCAATCCCACAATATAGATCTCTGTTGTACTATAAAGTCTCCCCTTCACTTTATACACTTGCACATTATCACTTCCAAACAACTCTTCCATAGTTTGTTCCAGTTTCTTATATTTTTCTTGTTGTCCATATGGATCGTGGTCAGATATCGTTAAAGGAGCAAAGAATTGATCCTTGTCTACACGTTCTGTCTTTATTTCTTCCTGAGCATGTGAAGAATCAAGATTCGTTGTTAAATCAGCGAATAGCTCTGCTGACTCGGGTAGGCGTTCGAGTTCCTTGTTCTCAAAGAACACAAATTCAAGTGGTTCGTCTCCCTCAGAGACGTAATACAAATCAGACGACGCTGCAACAAGTTTATCCTTAACCTGCAGCAAATCGATCGGGCGTGCGCTAGAGCTATCGGACGGGTTGCCCATCGTTCTTGGAAGAAATATGTAGAGATCGCCGTGGCGTAAATGCCAATTTATGGTGTGGAAATGACGTTTAAGTCACTTGACCAAACCTATTTCATATCGATATTCTTATACATAGTAATAGGTATTTCTCAATAGTAACCAGAACCTGATTCGATTGGCCAAATGGAAGTTCGTTTGATCGCTTAGTTAATTGAACGATTGATGCAAAAGCAATCGCTGGGCTATGAACGAACTTAAAGACTTATCTCAACACCTGCTCGATTATAACAGACAAACTTTTGAGAAAATTGTGCAAGATATAGAAGTAAAATACAGGGAGCGGGTTAATGTAAATAAGAAAATGTGATGCGAAGTTGAGAATCTGAAGACGCAAGTGCAGGAGGCGGGAAAAATTATCGCATCCATGAAATCAGATTCTACGCATTGTGAAGGTATATTTCAGGCGAATTATGAATTTGCGCAAATAGCTAGCTATTCGGCGAAACATCTTCACGCGAGATATTCAATAATCATTAGTATTTTTGCACAATTATTTGGTAGGGATTAAAAACAGTATTTTATTGCATTATTGGTCTTTTTTTTTTTTTTTAATAAATTAATACACAAGAAGATCTATTATAACTTATGAATGCAGCATGGAAGATAGTGAAAGTAGTGCAACTAGTCATTCTGTCAATAATGCGTCTACTACTATTAGCGATGAATTCTCTCCTCATATCAAGTATTATAACATGCGCAGTAAACTGTTACGTGAATTAAAACAAATTATCCCAGAGGCATCCATCATCACGAGTGAGCGAATGGAATAAGCGGCAGTTCAGGCTTGTGCGCAGGTATCATTTATACTAGGTTAATATACCAACATTAATGTTATTGTCTTGCTCGAATACGGATGAGACCAACGCGATGACTCTTCATATTTTTCAAAAAAAGCTCATTAAGCAGTTTGTAAGAAAGCTCAACAATTTGATCAATGAACTCTTTGTAAAAGCC